AGGCTGTGCGAGACTCTGCCTAAAAGTACTTCTGAAACAAAACCAGTGCAGGAGATTCGTAAATTTGCTGTTAGGATGCTGTAGGTGTGATCCAGCACCGATTATTTTATGGCATCTGCGTTGTTGCACTTTGCTGTGTACTGAAGACAAGCGAAACAAGGCTGTTTCAGAAACAATTCAAGCTTTTTACATACAGAACAGAAATGCAGAAAAATCCTTGAAACACATTTTGAGCAAGTCCTTTGATTCAAACTGCAAGCTTGAAATGACAAACGGGAGGGAGAAACTTCAGGAGAACCTATGTCTGTCACAGATCCTTCATCTCCCCATTGTCATCAGTAAGGAAGCAATAATGATTGGCAAACTCTAATTGCCATTTACTCTGCAGAGCTGAGCACTGGCAGGGCTGTGCTTTGTGATGCTTGAGGAATAGCTGTCACAACTGTTACAATGAATATGTCTCCTTAAGTTTTTCACCTTCTTTATCTTCCAGTTTACCCCAAATTAAATGCTGGTGTTATTGAAGTGGGGCTTTCACCAAGGGGTTGAAAGAGGACAGCTCTGCAGCAGGTCAATTTATCATTCTCCTTTCTACAACAACCCTACCCATGTACTATAGTCAGGAGCCCCTGTGGTTTCTGTAATAACCACGTATTTCTTCCTCTTCCTCCTAGCCCCATATTGGTGGGCTGGACACGTTCCAGAAGCCCTGCCTGGTCCCTCCTCTCACGGCTGATAGCGATGGCTTGCTGCAGCTCACAGGGAAAGCAGGTGGAATGTTGATGGTTCTCAAGATTTACTGTCGGCTCCTGATGCTGAAGGATGAGTCTGGTGTTCTTCGCTTTCATTTTTTTCAGGCTGCTGAGTGGTTTGTCTGTGCAAAATCCTTTGATGTTTCTTCATACAGACAATTGTGGACGACTGGTTTGGATGTGCAGAGTGTGGATGGATATGTGCTCGCCAGGGACTGTCAATTGGCTGGAGATTCAGACAGGTTGGTGAGGATGAGACTAACCCTCATTGCTGACTGATTTAAAATTTGGCATCTCCTTGGGTTCAGATGCATTTGCTGTGTTTATCTCCTTCCAGATCCTTGTTTTCCCAGGAGCATCTGTTCACCCACCAGCCATTAGTGATGTAGATACTCCAGACATGTGGGGGAACTGACCCCAGAACAGTTCTCTGAGCAAAGATTTAACTCCATAATGAATTTGTCTCTTCCTTATTGGGCTAAATAATGAATACCAGCAAGAACGCATCACTACTAGTTATTGTGACATCCCTCTTGGGGTCGAGCAGACCAGCAACCCAGCATCACGGATCATGAGCTGCCAGAGTCTCCTCACAGCACATCTCAGTACTTTCCATAGGTTATGATTTTCTATCTGGTGCATATTTTAGTTCCTGTGCTTTGTGGTTCACACGTAGTACTCAGTTCCTGTTTCTGTTGTAGGCTTTATGCAGATACATTTGGCTGCTTCCTGGCGTTTTTCCCTACTGCTTAATAGTGGACATGAATTTAGCCAGAGGTGTATAGGTGCAAGTAGAGGGACCTCCTGTAGATGCTCCCTAGTTTTCACTGGACCACATTGTTCCCCTTTTTAATTAGCTGTGTTTTACCTGCCTGCTCTTGTTGTATTTCTCCCTCAGCCCATCAGATACTTAATTTCTCTCTTGCAAGATGCTGAGCTGATAAGCATCTTAGCTCCTCACCAGGCAGCGTGTGTGCTTGTTAGCTGCCAGCCAGCTGATGATGATTAGACTGTAGTTTTGATAGTTGTTTCCTGTCTTTCAAGCCTGAACAGATGGCTTGGTACTCCCCGTGCAAGCTTTTACTTTCCTAGTACTTCGTGGCTTGGCCAAACAGCAGTTGTGTAGCCTGCACGTGTGAAGCTTCTCAAGGGGATCCTGGCAAAGGGAGAGGAGAGGCCACGTCCTCTAAAGACCCTGCAAAGTTAGTAGCCACTTGAGAGGAGTGCTGGGGTTGTTTTGTTGGTTGGATGCAGTCCTCCAAACCACACTTTTGTTCCCCAGCTTCTAAGTCTGTTGCTGATCTGCTGTCAGTATTGTGTTTAGGCTCTGTATTTTGGAGAGTTAATAGTGTTATGTCTGATAAGAGATGCTGCTTTTGGATTTTATGTTACAGGATCAGCACACTCGTGTTTGCAAAGGGATGACTGCAAGACCTTTGTAAGAACCAGACAAAGAGATCTTTTTCTGTCATGAAGAGAAGAATCATTCTATGTCTGCCAACAAATGCTAGGCTATGTTGGTGACTCTCTGCATGGATTTAGCAAGGGACTAGGTTTGGTTAGAGGTTGTGAGCAAAAGGGCGAGGGATTGGGAAGCCTACAGAGGCCTGACAATGGATTTGCTCCCTGGATTTCCCTTTTCCTGGGACAATTTTCAGTTCTACCATGTCAGGTTTTCCTGTGTTGGGCACTGTCCTGGTTTTGGCTGGGATAGAGTTAATTTTCTTCTTAGTAGCTGGTACAGTGCTGTGTTTTGGATTTAGTGTGAGAATAATGTTGGTAACACACTGATGGTTTAGTTGTTGCTAAGTAGCGCTTATCCTAAGTTAAGGATTTTTCAGTTCCCTGTGCTCTGCCAGCGAGCAGGTGCACAAGAAGCTGGGAGGGAGCACGGCCAGGAGAGCTGACCCGCACTAGCCAAAGGGCTATTCCATACCATAGGGAGTCATGCCCAGTACAGGAACTGGGGGGAGTTGTCTGGGAGGGGCGGATTGCGTGTGCATCGCTTGTCTTTTCTTGGGGTTTGTTTCTCTCCCTTTTTGTTATATTCCTTTTCATTACAATGATTTTTTAAATGATCGTTATATTTTATTTATTACACTTCCTATCTCAATTCAGAAGTTTTGACTTTTTTGATTCTCCTCCCTGTCCCGCTGTGGGGGAGAAGCAAGCGGGTGGCTGTGTGGTGCTGAGCTGCCGGCTGGGGTTAAACCACCACAGACCTGCAGCCCTCCGGAGATCTCTGGCCTCTGTACAGGTCACTTGACCGGGCTCCTTCTGTCCTGCCCGCGTGTGGGGCTGCATTGCTGACGGGAGCCCTTGTGCCCTCCTGGCCGAGGGTGCCTAGGGCGCAGGGGGAGTCTGGCAGCAACAGAGCCATCAGGAAGGGGCTCCCCCTCAACAGCTCGGCGGGCTCAGGAGGCATCCTGGCTGCCTTGTGAAGATCCTTGGAATGAATGATCATCAAACATGGCCACTGTCTACCAAAAAATAACATCTCTCTACTGCCTAGTCCTGTAAGAAAACAGCTCCTTCTTATGAAATAATAAGCTTTCATCTCTTCAGTTATTGCATTGCATGAGAGCAACTGGCAGCCTGCTCATATGAGCCAATTTATTAACTAAATCTCATTTACTAACTGGGAGCAAATTCTCTTTACTTGTAGCTGCTGAATACAGATGAGGTTGGGCTTTGGAGCTGCCCAGGTGCCAGGCAGCTTCCTTGGCCCGTTTGTCCTTGTGTCCGTGTCAGAGTCACTCTGCTAGTAATAAACCTCTCTCCTGACCTGCCGGGTGTGTTGCTGAGCCCAGCCTAATGAATGCTTGCACTAGAGGAAGACCAGACTCACTGGGAGAGCCAGTGTGTGCTGAGTGGGAAGCAGTCTGTTCCAGCTCGGGAGAACACATTACCGGCACTGGCAGTGATTTCTTCCAATCAATGTGCCCTGCCCGAGCTGCAGAGAGAGAAGGGGCAGCCCTTGGTGGCACCTTCCTCAGGACAGCCCTGCTCTGCCCCGTGCCCACGTGTCTGATGGCGATGCCCTGAGCCGTGTGCTGGGGGTGCAAGGGCTGCCCATGACACCCCCCTGCTGAGGACCCCTGCTCTGCTGCCTCTGATCCCAGGGGCAGCGCTTCCACCCCTTTCTCAGGAGAGGTGTTCACAGTTTGTAGCCACTTACTCCTCCTCCCGCAGCCCCCACATCCACACCTTCCCTGCGTTCTCCCCCGCTGTGGGAGCCCTTCCCTGACACAGGAGTATCAGGAGGGAGCAGGATTCCTGCTGTGGTGCTAGGGTGGTGCTGGGCGTCCGTCCTGGCACCCCAGCTGGCCAGTGCCCTGGCTAATGAAGGCAGCTGCCTGCGTAGCCAGGGGCAGGCTGCTGGGGTCCGTCGCAGCTGGATGTGTAGAGCTGGGGAAGAGCTGCCTGTGTCCCCTCTGATGGGGCTGCCCGCTCGGAGCAGGGTGCTGAGCCCTGTGGCGGTGCAAGGCCCTGCCCTGGGTCCTGGCAGCGGGGACACGGCCTGTCCTCGGCACCGACTGCCAGCCAACAGGACAGGCAGGGCCCAGTGGAGGTTGAGAGGGACGGGGTGTGCACCGGCAGGTCCCATCCTCGCTCCCTTGGTGGTAGCTTTCCCGGGGTAGCACCCTCAGCTCAGCATTCGCAGCTGCTCCCTGGGGCAGCCGCCTGGCCACCGGCTCCTCTCTACATCCTGAGCCTACAGTTCCCTGGCGCTGGGGGAAGCAATCTCAAACAGATGGGCACTCGCTGCTCGAGAGAAAGTCTCTGCACTGGCGCTTGCTCTCTGCCAGGAGACGGTCACTGTGCAGAACATGGTGCTGCCTCTTGGCAAAGGCTTTGTCAGGGGGCACACAGGCATGTTTGGTTCTGGAATCTCCAGAGAGAGCCACTCTGCTGATGGTGTTTGCTTCCTCATCATACCTGCCTCCAGGTTTAATGGTTTCTCCCAAGCAAGAAAACTAACAATAAAGATAATTCTTTTAAAACTGATTATCTGAGAGTACAGATTGTCAAGCTTTATGCTGTTGGATAAATCAAACTAACTGCTGAGAGTTAATTTGTCTGACCATAAAGTGGATTCAATAAGTGTAAAACAAAACTAATTGGTTCTCTTCCATACAAATTTAATCATACTATAAAATGTGATCAATGCAAATAAAAAGCACTGAGTAGGTTAAGTGTCAAGAATCTATAAAGGAAAAAATGGCTTATGTGCTTTCTTGCAGGAATTGAAAACTGGGCGGGTTTCCGTCCCTACACTGATCATCTCACGGTGCAGTCCCAGTCCGAACATGCCGAGTGCTGGCGTCTGTGCTGCCTGCTATTGTGTCGGAAGTAAGTTGTCCCTCAGTCTTTATAGTTTCTGGTTTTTCACGGGTTGAAACTGTTGGTGTGATACATGACTTGTGGGTGCTGAGACACACAGGCAGATGGAACACGCCGAGCAGGCTGTGGGCCCGCTGCCCTTGCTCGTGCAGACTGTCCTGCAGCCAAGGGGCAACCGGCACCCCCGAGAGCCCAAACACAGACCCTGTGCCGGCGCTGACGCCAGGCTTGGGGGTGCACACAGAGCACCAGGACTCCTGCTGCTAGGGCTCCGCTGCACCCCCGCACTCTTCCCTTCGCCCCAGGGAGCGCTGGCACTGCGGGGACACAGGATCCTCGCCGCCGTGAGCCCCGTCCTCTGGGCTCTCCGTACCTCCCTGATCCCACATCAGCCACCTGCTGATGGTTTCTCCAGACAGCTGACTTCACGGCCCTGCCAGGCCTGTCAGGGGGCTGAGACACTGCCCAGAGCTTCCCGACTCCTCGCGCAGCCCAGAGCTTCAGCCGAGGATGGGAAGGAGCACTGTGCCATCTCCTGGGGCTCGCCTGGTGTGCACCCTGCGTGTGGAGCCTCTTCAGTTGAACGTGCAATTGCCAAGGCAGCCATCTGGTGAAGCGGGCGGAGGCTGCCAGACAGGCTACAGCTCTGCCACAGCATCCCGACAGTGGTTCAAGGCAAATTAGATGCAATCAGCCAAACTGAAACCTTTTAAATTAATCCTTTGAAAGACCTGCTGTGCGAGGCTGACATAGGCTGTAGTTATGGTGATGGCTGGAGTGTGGCTGGGGTTGCTGCAGTTGCTGCTCATGTGGAGAGCTGCTAAATCCCTCAAATATGCAGGTTGCCAAAAGCTGACATCTTTTCTAAACAGTTTCCCCATGTGGATGTCCAGCTTGGACAAGATGTGGAGGAAGGCACCTACAGCTCAGCAGAGAGGAGAGATGGGGAGGGAGGGAAAGGAAAGGAGCAGCCTGAGACATCTGGGAAATTAAAGGATGCAGCTTCCAGCACGCAGGGTTCCTGCTGCGGAAATTGTCAGAGCTGGGGCGGGAGAGAGAAATGCCAAAGCTGGAGGTGAGGAAGAGGAGCTATTGCAGCACTTCTGCCAGCTCAGGCCTCTTCACCAGCCTTCCTGGGGCTTCGTGGGCATGCTGGGGAGGGCAGGGGCAGCTGCCTCCCTCCCCGTTTCGGCTCCCGAGTGGGGAGTGTTGGAGTGCCTTTGGGGAATGCTGAACACCAGCGGTGCCAGCGCCCTTGTCACATTCTGTGCCCTGAGCCCGGGGTCTCAGCTGGTTGCACTGGTTTGGCTGCCACTGCCTTGCCAGCACCTGCTGCCCAGGGGAAGCGCAGCTGGGAGCCTCTCGCTACGCCAGGCAACCTGGTGAGCCTGCTTCACCTCACCTTCTTTCTTCCTCCTCCCCAAATTCTGAGGTTAAGTTCTAGTATCTCATAAAACATCATGTTCATATCATAATTCCAGCCTGCAGAAAGCCCCTCCTGTGCAAGGGCCAGCATGCATACAAATCGCTGCTCTAAATCTCCAGCTACAATAAGGAAACTTCAGATGCTGACAGTTTACTTGATAAATACCTAATATAGCTTAAATAATTATTTAATGCAGACAAATGGAAAAAGAGAGCATCCATATGCTGCGTTGTAATAAATTACAGCTTGCAACTTGCTGGGCAGCAGCAGCAGCCGCTCTAAGGACGGGCTCTGCCGTGGCCGGGGAGGGAGGGCTGGGGCTGGGGCTCTGCTATGGGAGGGCCCTGCCAGGAGCTGATGGCTCTTGAGTGGCAGGTGAAGGAGAGACTTGAACCCTCTGCAAGCCCAATTAATACAGTGCTAATGGCCTTGGAGGAGTCAATGAGCTCTTGGTCCTGGCTGTGGGGCTGAGCGCTGGCGCGGTGGGGCAGGGCAGCCCCAGGAGCTGGCGGGGGGCTGTGGGCAGAGACGCCTTCCCAGCAGCATTGCCCGGGCGGGAACAGAGCAGGCAGCCTGCGGCAGGCTCTGCGGGCAGCACCTCCCTTCCCCTCCCCATGGGCAGCATCTTCCCTCCCCTCCCCATGGGCAGCACCTTCCCTTCCCCTCCCCATGGGCAGCACCTTCCCTCCCCTCCCCATGGGCAGCACCTTCCCTTCCCCTCCCCAGCGGGCAGCCGCATCCCCACAGAGCTGCACGGGGCTTGTAGAGTGCCGCGAGCTCGGGTGGGCCTGGAACGGGCAGTGGGCACAGGGTTGGGCTGTTGCTGTAGCTGGAGGGAAGCGTAAAGGAGTGTTTGAGGCAAATGGCTCCCTGTAAGCTGAACAAGCTCCCAATGTCAAGGGCGTTGCTCTGCCGGCAGCAAAGCGTGTTCCTTCTGGAGCTGCTCGTGCACCACATTCCTGGGCTAATTTTGTGGTTTTCATGAGCGTAGCTCCCGGTCTTCACCTCCTTTGAGCTCCGCGGTCAATGATTGCTTATGGGTTTTTGCTTTGCTTTATATGCTCAGTGGTATTTCGGAAAGCGTGTGGATCTGCTACGTGAGCTCTCTGACAGATTACAGGGGCTGCACTCGGCTGAGCTCCTGGTGTTCTGCCGTGTCAGCCTTACAGCAACAGAGGGCTGCGGCTGTGCCTTTGCATAGCAGAGGATAAACACAGCAGCAGAGATGGAAGATAAGTGGCAATAAAAAGTAAAATGTGGAGTGCCTGCCCTTTAAAATATATTAGGTGGTTTATAAATAAAGCTCTGTATTTTTAGGATGTATGTGGAATTGTTCAGCCTGTAGCCCTAAGGAATCTGACCTTGAAGAGAAGAAATACAGCTGTGAGCAGCTTTCAAGCTGTTCTGGGAACGGACAGACAGGACAAGTGCTCTTGCTTATTATTTCGGCAGTAGGTGAGCCCTGTTAGGCTGGTGTGGCCTGGGGAAGGAACTCAAGCTCCAGCACTCCTCTCGCTGTCAGAGAACCCCAGCGTACTGTCAGAGGCAGAGAATTCAGGGGTAAAATTACCAAGTGTCTGGTGAGATTCCCAAGGATCCTTGAGTCCTTGGCAGTCGGGGCAGGCTCAGCTGGGTTGTTTCATGTGCTGGTCCTGGACAGACAAGCTCCGACGATGTGAGACCACCGGACAGAAGCACGCAGCCTGGTTCCCACACCCCGCTCGGCCCCGACGTGCTGCAGAGCCGTTGCAGGCGTGGCTGTGCGGGCCGTGGTGCCAGCACGGCTCCTGGCAGAGCATCTCCTGGGACATGGGGCCCGGGCTGTGCCTCCCCTCCAAGGGCGGCTGAACAACTGCCTCCCACCTCCCGTGTCTGTCCTGCCTGCAGCAGCACCTGTTTGGGGTGAGATGGGCTTGCTTCTGTTACTGAAGTGTTCCACTTCGTGCAGCGGAGTCAGCTTTTTGCTGGGGAGGAGGAAAGTGCTTGTGAGCAGGGGACTCGGTTGGGAGTGGGGGGAAGTGGGTTTCAGGTTTTGTTTTGGTGAGTGCTGAGGAGTCAGGTGTCCTCTCTGGACAGGCAGAAGTTGCACCCCAAACTGGGAAAAGCAGCTGCTGATCTGGGATGATTCTGTTTTCAGGCAGCCCAGGGTGAGATCCAGGTCTTGTCTTCTGCTGGAATAGCTTTCTGAAGGATGAGTGGCATCCTCCCAGCCTCTAATTTCTGCACAATATGAAAAATTCTGGCCGGGCAGATTCCTTTAAGGATACTGAGTGAGTGGAGACAGCTGTGAGGTGAGCCTAGGGATCTGAGCCATAGCCTTCTTATTTTAAATTTGTTCTTTGAGAAAACACAGATGATTCCCTGTGTGGAGGAATAACTGGTAAATCGATCCCTGCACGTGCTGATGCCGGGAGCCAGAATCTCCATGCGCTCTGGGCTTTGGCAGAGAAAATGTAAACAAACTCCAGTTTTATGTCTGACCAAGGAGATGTAAATCAAACACGTGTGTTGAAGCCATTTAAATGTTTTGACATTTTCCAATCCATCAAGGCCTTTAATTGTATTTTGAGTGAGTTGTTCTATATGTAAATACCAGTTAATGTTGAAATTGTTTATAGCCAAATTGTCTGTTTATGCAAATTATGTTCCAAGATCACAGAGCTTCTATTGCAGAATGAAAACGTCTCTTTTATTTAATGCCAGAACTGTTTCCTCTGGCTGCTGCAGCTTCCGCAGGCTGCGTGGCTCCTGCCGTGGGGTCACGGGAGCGCTGGGCGCTCCACGGCGGGAGGTTCTGCCAGGGGCCCGGCCGGGCTCGGCCTGAGCGCTGCTCCGACCGCTCCTGCTGCGGGGTTAACTCCTGAAGCTGGTCCCTTCGTCAGGGCCTGGTTTCTGCCTGCCTTGCCCCTGGGCTCTGGTACCTCCACGGCTCGCCCGTGGGCTCGGGCAGAGCCTCCCTGCGTGCTGTGCTCGGGAGAGGACCCGCCGCCGGGGGGGTGCTGTGCTCTGGGGTTCCTCTGCCTGGCTCAGGCCTTCATCCCCTTGTCTGGTGCAGGAGGCAGCAGGCATTAAAATCCACTCCTGCTGGCTAATGCAGAGAAATCAAGATGCTGCTCCCGCCCGTGCCGTGCCTAAGCAGCTCGGGATCATCCCCTGGAGACAAATGCCCTCCTGCCCTGGCGCGGAGGAGGGCAGTTACAGTTACCGTGGGCTCTGCCCGCGGACGGCTTCTCGTCGGGGAGCGCCTGGAGCTGAGGCTGACCCGCGGTAGGAGCCGCAGCGCTGGCGTGGCCGAGGCCGGACCGGTGCTCGGCGGGTCTGGTACCGGGCCGGGGGGCAGAGCTGGCAGGGGCTGCACCGAACCCCGACACCGCGCGGCCGCCCCTGCCCCGGCACCACGCTCCCTCTCTCCTGGGTTTTCAACCAGCACCGTTGATCTGGTCTTTGTGTGGGCTTAATGTCAGCGTTCCTGGGGGAACACTGTAGAGTAATAGCAAGCTGCACAGCCTGAAGTTGGGCTCTGGTATTATTTCTTCATTAATATTTGTTGTTCATAAATATATATTCACTCCTATTTATCACA